GTGGAGCTGGTAGCTCGGATGACCACCTCCGACTACCACAGGTTAGGGTCAGACGTGGTCGACAGCAGGGAATCCTGCCGCACGACCACGACTACCAGATTGGTCACGGTTCGATGTACAAATCAGCTTACACATTCTGCGAAGCCTTGACCCCAGCGCGGTAACACGCGAGTTGCGAGAGTTGCACTTACGTTGGCCCCATGCGAAGGAGCCTAAGATGAGATTCATCTTAAGCAAAATAGGTCTGGACAGTGTTAGACTCAACCTCATCAAGGGCGTCTGCGACACGCGCCGTGAATGCGGAGCTTGGGGCAAACCTGGACACACACTTATTCCCTCTACTGCATCACCTTGCCATTCAATGATGAAGTGGAATGTGATTTGATGTTCTACAAAAAAGAACACAATATGGTTAGCATGATCGATCGTTGTATACGATATGCTACTGGGATGGAAAATACCAGATCAAACTATGACTAGTATCCTGGATGCATATCATCAGTGCTGGATGCAGTTTGGACCAGCTACGGTACTTTACTAGGATGGAAAAGGTGCTCTTAATATTGACACTGCGAAAGCAGTCCTCACGGCAAAAGGCACTGAACTTAGAATACGTGCGCGTGGACAGCACGCTACGACGATCGAGGCCAGAACTGGCACCCTACGTCCTCTACTTCACGCCATGGAGGCTGAACTCAATAGGTTAGACATACTTCTTGTATTCACCAGACTACTGCACGAAGCCTTGTTCGCCGCCAGCGCATTCACCTTCTACGGTGAGGTGCGTCCATGCAACGCATTGTCTGGACGGCAACCAGCAATGCCCCCCTGACCTTCCTGTTCTGGACCACGAGCAGCCGACGTAAACATCATATCATTCTCGTGAACAGAAAATACGCAGGGTATGTATGGAAGCGATCACACAGGCCACGGCAGTAGCTAAGACCAATCGCGCTCTACGCACTAAGACGATAACTCCAGGTCAGCACTCTTATGACGAAGGAGATTTGGTTGACTACCATCGCCCTACGACTACTAAAGATGACTGGGGAGGCTGGAATGGCCCGTTCCCAGTTGCAAGGAATGGCCCCAAAAGGGGTCAGGTCATCATCCGAGTAGGCAATCGAGATGTTCAAGTACATTGCGGCGGTGCAAGACGCCCGCTCTATATTGAAGCACTCATAGCCCGAGAGATTGGCTCCAACAGCACTGCACTACGTACAGTGTTGACATTCGTAGCTAGCCTGTCAGCGGGAAGGCCTGCGCTGACACTTGGCTATGTGCCGACCAAGAAAGGTACGCTTCAGATGACAACGGCAAGTCGTCTATCTCCAAAGGTACACTTGGCTCTACAATATCTCATCAGAAACTTCTTTCGCATCGAGAATGTAGTTTTGGTGAGATTAGCCAAGAGTATACATAAACGACCCCCGGTTACTTATGCTGACAGCTGCACGTTGGCCCATTACGACAACGATGTGAATCCAGGATTCCATTACTATGAAGCAGATGGTACTGCTCTGGATATACATGGTATATCTGGATCAGCACATTCACGAGTCATCCAATGCCTGAAGTCCACTAAACCTGAAGCAGGTTTTGATCAGGACATGTCAGAGTTCGAGGACTTGGCTGATGCGCCGACACCTGAAGGAGCCGCAAGAGAGGCTTCAGAAGCCGAACCAGAACATGATGACGGACGGCTGTCTACGATCTACGAGGAATCGGAGTATGATCTTGAGTCACATGTCGTGGAGGTATGGTACGCGAAGATGCGAGAGGAAAAGGAACTGTTGGAGGCAACTCCACTAGGATACCTCTTTAACGTGCCCACACAGATGGTTCCTGATCAGAGTGTGCTGATCACTGTAGCTGATGAACAGCGGGGACACCTGCCGAAGTGGGGGCGCACTCGCGATCCCGATGCCGAGGGGGCGTGCTACGCCCCCCTGTGCACCATGGTCGAAGACGACAGCAACGGACTCGACTCTGACGAAAACGGTCGGTACTTTGAACTGTGCTTTACGACAGAAATGTCAAGGGTAGTCTTGTCCGAGCAGCAATTCATGTTGTTAGACGCCTGCCGGGTGACCACCATGCGAGTATATGTCACTGCCGCTGCAAAGCGAGCTGTGGTCGTCATGGAAGACGACCTCCTCGCCAAAGCTGACATTCCGCCGAGCCCCGGGAAAGTATCGAAGGCCCTTTGCATTGAGCTCAAGACATGGTTCGACAATGAATGCCTCAAAATGCAGGAGATCGCCAAAGCGTCAAAAATCATGACTTCGAGAGATGTATGCACATGGAAATTCGTTAAGAACGAAAAGGGTGAGATGGAACGTGCCATCCGACTTCGTTTGGTCCTTCGAGGCCCCATGGGCCTTGCAGTTTTCGACGTGGGAACATTTTCGGGAACGGCCGGAAGGCCAAGCCAGAGGTTACCTGTCAGCACGGCAGCGTGCAAGAAGCAGTGGATCATTGCTTCCCTCGACATCAACGTGGCCTTCCTGAAGGGATTGGCCTATCGGGGACTCGCTGAGGCAACTGGTGAAAATCAGCGCGTGGTGTGCTTTACCTTGCCGCCTGGGTCGGCAACTGTGCTCCGTGCTCTTCCGGGATTCGAGAACTACGACGAGTCGAAGCACTGTTTGCAGTGCTTGAAACCGGGCACAGGCACTAAGGGCGCCCCACGGGCTTTCTCACTTAAGCTCAGGAGAACCACCAGAGGATTCGGCCTCCGACCTACGTCTTATGACGAGGAGTTCGAGACGAGCAGCAACCTGCTCACGGCCAAGCATGTTGATGACATTAACATCGCCGGTGCTGAGGACACTATTGACATGCATGTCAAATGTGTTGAGGATACCTGCGGTATGTGTAAACTCAACAAACACACATGCACGAACTGCGCTGTGATATACACCAAGGATGAGGACGGCAATGTCACTTTGGATCAAGATGAATATATTAAACAGCTCCGTCCTATACAACAGCCTGAATGGACCGGCGCTGACGCTGGCGCTCAAGCGACCAAGATGGTGGCAGATATGTTCGTCAGTCCCAGATGCGCGCTGGCATGCGCACTGATCACCCAGATATTGTTGATGGTATATGTTGTATCTCTACAGCGTGTCCAAGAACCGACCAGTATTCAAGTGCGACCACTGAACGCGATCACCAGAAAGCTACAGGACTGCCCGAAGAAGATCGTCTACCAGGCGACGAACCCTACGGGTGAGGTCGACTTACATAGCGACTCAGGCTATGGACGCCTGAGTGGAGACGCTGGCGACGACTTCAAAGGCTATGGCATTCGCGGGGCAAAAACCTGCTACGACGTGGAAACACGTCATCTGGCAAGCCTGTCGTTCACTTGATTGATGCGCACTGCAAGTCTCGCCGCTTGCAAGTCCGCTCAAGCTACTCAGCAGAGACACTTGCAGCAGCCCATCATTTGGAGGACTGCTATCCCACGATTGTGACTCTGCACGAGCTCCACGCGGGGCCACTCACGCCCACTCTGTTGGAACACATACCTGAGCTGGGTGGCATAAGCATCGAGGTCACCTTGACCATCGATGCTGAGTCTGTCTTTAAGGCCTTGTCAGGCAAAGACTTGACGAAGCCGACTGAGTGTACCTTTTTAGGACACATAGGTTGGATACGACAGATGATGGAACGCGGAATCGTGCATAGCATTCAGTGGTGTGACACCCGCGACATGACTGCGGATGGACACACCAAGGGGAGCATTGAGAGAGAGATGCTCCTACAAGTCATGGGAGGTATACAGACCTTCAAACATGACGTACAAAGACGCTCCATACCGGGCAGTGGTGTGACACCCGCGACATGACTGCGGATGGACAAACCAAGGGGGGCATTGACAGAGAGATGCTCCTACAAGTCATGGGAGGTATACAGACTTTCAAACATGACGTACAAGACGCTCCATATCGGGCCGGCCAGACAAGAAGTTCTGAGACCGCTTGAGGAGTATATTTTATGTACACACACATATATATATATACACATATGCGAGGCAACTTGCTGGCGGGTCCATCTACTTTGGGCCTGCCTCTTTTCCTGTTTTTACATAGGTTAACGGCTGAACTGTTTCTGCGATGCGGATGGCGGACGCACGCTTCGTCTCCCTCCCCCCCGATTCTAAAGCGAATTGGGGGGCGTAAGGAGTGGAAACGAGCGTGCGCCCGCGGCCGCCTTGGCTCAAAGCGGCCGGTCGCCCAGATTTGACTGTGCCTCACCGCGAGGCACACGATAGCTATTGATACTGATACTAAAAGGCAACCCCGTTTACTTGACATGGATTCCCCTCTTGCATTGGGACGATCGCTACTACGGTACAGCCGAGCTGGAGCTTGGCTTCGCGTGAGGCGAAGCTGTTGGCTGGGTCTCCCAGCCCCCTTCAAACTGAAGGAGGAGGAGGCGGCGGAAGCGGAGGCGGAGGGGGAGGCGGAGGCGGAGGAGGAGGGGGACAAGGAGGAGGAGGCGGAGGAGGAGGCGGAGGAGGAGGCGGAGGAGGAGGACAAGGAACAGGAGGAGAGGAGGAGGAGGATGAAGAGGAGGGGGCGGAGATAGGAGGGAGGAGGAGGAGGAGGAGGAGGAGGGGGATGAGGGAGGAGGAGGAGGAGGAGGAGGAGGAGGAGGAGGAGGAGGAGGAAGGAGGAGGAGGCGGAGGCGGAGGCGGAGGAGGAGGCGGAGGAGGAGTGCGAGGAGGAGGAGGCGGAAGCGGAGGCAGAGGTGGAGGGAGGAGGAGGAGGAGGAGGAGGAGGAGGAGGAAAAGGAAAAGGAGCAGAAGACGAGGGCGAGAGAGATGAGAGGGAGGAAGGCTTAGGAGCAAAAGGCAGAGGACAACTACTGGGGGGTTGGGAGAGGTGGAGGGACAAAAGCAGGAGAGGAGGCGCAGCATCGCGCTGGGGAAGGGAGAGGGGCGGCCGGAGCACAGCTGCCCCCGAGACGCGCGCCGGGCCCCCTGCCAGGCGTGCCCTCGACTACGCGGAGGCCGGCCCGGGCGGCCCGTGCGAGGCAGGGGACCGCGACGTGCGGCTGTTGCTGCAGGCCGTCGTGGTCCTCCTTTCCCATTCCTCCGCCTCCTCCTCCTCCTCCTCCTCCTCCTGCTCCTCCTCCTTCTCCATGGCCTTTCCTTCTGAATAACTTCTTCTTGTTTCACCCCGAGGCTTGTTTTTAGGGTGGGCCAGGCTTTTCGCCTGAGACTTCCCCACCGCTTATGATCTTGAGTGTAACAGAGTGGAAGAGCTTCACGGATTGAGGGCAGGTGGTTTTCAAACTGTGGCTCTCGTCTTAGCGCCCCGCACACGCTTTGTACAACTTTGTAAGAGTTTCACGGATTGAGGGCAGGTGGTTTTCAACATGTGGCTCTCTCCTGAGCGCCGCGCGCATTCGTTTTACAAGCTTCAATTGTTTCACGGATTGAGGGCGGGTGGTTTTCAAAATTTGGTTTTCGCCTTAGCGCCGCGCACATGCGTTTTGAGCTTCACGGATTGAGGGTGGGTGGTTTTCAAAATGTGGCTCTCGCCGTAGCGCCGCGTTTTTTGTTTTACACATTCGCAAGACTTTCACGGATTGAGGGTGGGTCGTTTTCACAATGTGGCTCTCGCTTGAGCGCCGCGCATTCGTTTTACAAATTCGCACGGGCTTCACAGATTGAGGGGTGGTGGTGCTCAAAATGTGATTTTCGCCTTAGCGCCGCACATATGCGTTTTAAACATTCGCAAGAGTTTCACGGATTGAGGGCGGGTGGTTTTCAACATGTGGTTCTCGCCTTGGCGCCGCGCTCATCCGTTTTTACACATTTGCAGGAGTTTGACGGAGTGAGGGTGGTTCCTTTTAAACATATGGCTCTCTCCTTAGCGCCGAGCACACCCGTTGTAGATGCACTGGTCCACGGATTCCCATGATCAACGTACCAGAAATGGTGTTCTGGAAAGATTCAGGGTTATGAGGGCGCCACAGTTACGTTGACTCGCGACGTAGAGGTCCCAGGAATTGCGTTCTGGCGCGATTCAGGATCGTCAAGACGCAACAATTCTGGTGTATCCGTGGCGTTGGAGTCCCACTTGTAATATTTTGGAATGCTTCAGGGTCTTCAAACGGTTGTTTTCCAACGAGGCAGTTTCTTCAGTGGAAATGAGCCGTTGTATGGGGTTTCTGAAGGGGAGCTTGGAGGGAGGGCTCATTCAAACATTGTTGATGATTCCTGGGTTTACACTGGTCCTCCTCCTCCTCCTCCTTCGTGCTCCTCCTGCTCCCCCCTCCCTTTCCCATTCCTTCTCCTCCACCATTCCTTTACCTTATACATAATTGTTCCATGTCGCACCTGGAGGCTTGTTTTTTAGGGCGGGTCGGGCATTTCGCATCAGACTTCCTAATCACTTATGACCCTGAAGCTTCAACATTGACAACATTTTCACAGATGGAAGGCGGGTGGTTTTCAACATGTAGATCTCGCCTTAGCGCAGCGCACACGTTTTTCAATGTTGCAAGAGTTTCATGGATTGAGGGCAGGTGGTTTTCAACATGTGGCTCTCTCCTTAGCGCCGCGCGCATTCGTTTTACAACTTTGCAATCGTTTCACGGATTGAGGGCGGTTGGTTTTCAAACAGTGGTTCTCGCCTTAGCGCCGCGCGCGTGCGTTTCAACAAATTGCAAGAGCTTCACGGATTGAGGGTGGGTGGTTTTCAAAATGTGGTTCTCCCTTTTGTGCCGCACGCATGCGTTCTAACAGTTTGCAAGGTTTTCACGGATTCGCGTGATCAGCGACAGGATTATGAGGATGCAACGTTAAGTGGATTTGCGGCGTAGAAGTCCCAGGAATGGCGTTCTGGTGCGATTCAGGATCGTCAAGACGCAACAGCCAGGTGGATTCGTGGCGTTGGAGTCCCACTTGTAATGTTTTGGCATGCTTTAGGGTCTTCAAACGGTTGCTTTCCAACGGTGCAGTTCCTTCAGTGGAAATGAGCCGTTGTATGGG